GCAGCAGGGCGGGACTTGGATGTCATCACTCAGGGGGACCACAGCCGCAGGGGGCCGGGAATAACACCAGGCTGCAGGAGGTGCGAGCAGCAGAGCCGACGGACCCCAGGGGGGGCGCCTGGGGTAGATCGGCTGGTTTTTGTTGGTTTGGGGGCTGTGCGGGGGAAGGAAGAGAGGGACAGCTGTGGGGGCTGCAGGCAGAGGACGCTGTTCAATGGCATCGACGTAAGAAGGCAAAGAAGCAAGCAGGCCACTTATCATTTATGGAAGCCTCAGGCCTTCTGAATATCCTCCTTGTATCTTTTTAAAAAATCATGTTGGGGGCACCAGGTGGCTCAGTGGTGGCTCAGACCATCTGCCTTCGGCTCAGGTCATGATCCCAGGGTCCTGGGATCGAGCCCCGCATCGGGCTCCCTGCTCAACGGGAAGCCTGCTTCTCCCTCTCCCACTCCCCCTGCTGGTGTTCCCTCTCTTGCTCTGTCTCTATAAAATAAATTAATAAAATCTTAAAAAAAAAACAGCAACAAAATATTTCCTTTTAAAGCAGCCTAAGTGAGTTAATCGTGTGCAGAAAGGCCCCTGGTCTACACACATTTGTCATAGAGCTTTGCTCTGGCTCAGACCTCTCTGCTGGCCAGTTCTGCTTCCCTCTCTCTACCCACCAACCTTCTCCTTCCTGGTCAAGCCTGCCCTCCTGGCTCTGCCTTGCCTCACCTCAAGAGGCAAGGAGGGGTCTGGCTGCGGGTGGGGACTGGGGGCTGCCCAAGGAGGGAGGCTATTTGTTTTTTCCTCATGGCTGTTTGTCAAGGGAAGGGGTACTGGTGACTAGGGAGGTGGAGGGCTGTGGTTCCCATGACACTGGGAAACATATGACTCCACGTTGGCACCCGATGAGGAAACCTCAATGCCTCTGTTTATCTGCCCACCCTTTTAGAGCCACTATCTGAGCAGGAAATGTGCATCAGGACTCTGGCATTTACCGAAGGTTTTCAGTCTATTCCGGGAACTTTTCAATGTTCATTATGTAATTTAGGCTTAATTACAACCTCCTTCTGTACCTGAGAGTGTGGAAGTAGATGAGGCCAATGACTTGCTCAAGATCATAAACTTGATGGTGATAAAGGATTGAACCCTGAGCCAATGGCTGAGTCATTCGGTTCACCAGGCCATTAAATTGGGTGTTGGTTAAGGGTCAGGGATTTTCAGGGCATGAGCGTTGCAAGAACAGAGGCTCAAACATGAGATCTGGGTAGGGTCGATTTCAGTTAAAAGATACTGCATTCTCAGATAGGGAGAAAACAATAAAACAAGACAAAACCAGGGAGCCAGCAGGCTGACCATGGCTGTGTATGGGTGTGCGGGGAGGGCCCTAGAGAGATGATGGGGCTTCCTGTCAGCAAGTGGGGTTTGGGGCTTGGGAGAGAATGATTGGCAGATGGCAGGTTCCCAGATGAGGTCATGGGATGGGGTTGCTGGATTCCAACGGAAGGGGGATCATCAGATGAGGCCAGGAACTGGGTGCTGGGGGCCGAGGTCTTCTGTGAACGGAAAGAGAGATCAGGCAGCAGGTGCCCTCGTAGGATGGGCATGGGCGGGACCTTTGGGGCAATGGTATCCCATGAGGAATCTGGGCAGGTGCCTCTGCGGAGAGCAGCATATGACCCCTGGGCTCACTGCCTCGACACCGTGTTGGACAGAGGCTCTTGAGGAGTCCCAGCTCATCCCACTCCCTATTTGCCGGACGGTTCCTCTGGAAGATCCAGGTGCCGAGTGAGTTCCTCAAACTCCACTCTTCCTGGTTTCCCTGTCCTTAAAGCCCAGAAGGAGGAGTGGTGGGGTACCCCAGCTGGATGCTGTTTGAGAAGGCGGAGGCCGTTGCCAGATCTGATAAGCCAAGTTCTTCCTGCCCCGAGGCCACGTTGTGCACAGTTTGCATCAGCAACAAGGGAGAGTCCTCTGAAGGCACAGGTTTGGGGAGGCCCCTGCTCTTGAGACAGCACCACAGCCACCTCCTAACTGGAGCCTACAGGGGCGGGGGCAGCCGGGTCTGGCCAGAGAGGGCAGAGACCGTCGCTGCCCAGGGAAGGGCCCTGAGGAGGTTTTTCTAGCAGGCTTATCACCCTGCTGTCCACTCTCAGGGTCTGGGGGTCGGAAGGCGTACACCCAAACCCACTCCCCTCGGCCCGAGCAGCCGTGAGGTCTCACTGCAAAAGAGATGACCCTCACAAGGGTTGATGGTGCACTGGCTGAGAAATGCTTCTTCAGGATGGCCTGCAACCTTGGCTTTGGTTGAAAGTTGACGGTGGCGAGTGTTGCTTCTCTTCCCTCTCTCCTCTCAAAGGTCACCATCCCAGGGGCCCTCCGCCAAGCATTGTGAGGAGCATCTGAGTCCGGTCCAGTGGTCCCCAGACCGCTGTGAGTGCCGTTACCGCGAGGGTGTGTCTGCCCACAGAGGCTCCCTGAGCGCCCCGAGCAGCCCGGTCCCCTTCTGTCTGCCCCTTTTCCCTTCCATCTCTTGGCCCCCCTCCCTCCTGCGTGGTCTTGCCTCCGAAGAACGGACCCATGTTCACCTCCATGGTGTTCACCTCCGCCTCCCGCCGGTTCTAAATGTGGAAGCTTCTCATCGACCCGCTCCCCTGTGGGTGTCGTGGGGCCCGCTAATCCTCTGAAAGCGACGGTGTCCTCTTTTAATTTCTTTTCTTCACAGTTGTGTCCAAGGGCGAGGCCCCCCCCCCCACAAGTGTACTCTTTCCTGAGCGCGATAAGTTGGGGGGTCTAGTGTTTGTGACTCAGAGAGAGTCTACATGGCTCCTGCTGGCTGTGTCCCCCCCTCACTCGTCCCAGGGAGGGTCACAGCTGCAGCGGGGGCTCCGCGGCGGGGGCCTCTGGCTCCTCAAGCCCCCAGCCCCACTGGACCAAGCGCTGCTTGAGAGCGGGGACCGTGACCCTGTATGGAGGCTGCCCTGCCCCCTGTGCCTGCTCCGAGTCACAGTGCCCGTCCGGGAGGGGCATCGACAGCCCTAGCCGGGTCCTCAGTCCGCTCCCTTCCCACTTGGTTAGGTAATCCTCCGGCTTCCACTACCTCAACTCCCCACACTTGGAAGCCGGTGGCTTTGCTTCTTATTGCACTGAGGACGTCGTGCCCACCACCTCGCCCGCCCTGCGGCTCCAGGGGGCCCCGTGGCCAGCCCCCCACTCCCCAGCAGCACTCGCCCCCTCTCTCTGCTCAAGGACAGGGCTCCAGGAGTCGCTCCTCTCTCTGCCGCCCCTTGGTAAGGCATCGCCCCCACTGGCGTATCAGCTGGGACGACACCCTTCTTTTCCTGATCTTTCGTATTCTGCCCGCTATTCCCCAACCCCGTTTGTCTACTTTTTTGTAGGAAAATGGCAGAGGCTCGTCTCTGTGCGCTGTGGCTGCATCTTCTCTTGAACCTGCTCCAGAAGGGTTTGCAGCCCATCACTCCACGACCACAGCTTTGTTCGTGTTCTCCTGTGACCGCTGCAGCGCAAACCTGGGCGTCAACCTCAGCCCCAGACTCACTGCCTTACCAAGGCACTCAGTGCTCCCCCCCTCCTTCCTGGACGCCCCCTCCCCCCCGCAGGGTGGCTCCAAGCCCCGCTCTGACAGTGCCCCCTGGCTGGGTTTTCAGACTCCGTAACTGAATTTTCCTGTGGCCTCTCTGGTGGCTTCACGTGTCCCTGTACAAAGGTATTTCCATCTCCTGCTTCCCTGCTCAGGAAAAAAAAAATCAAAACTTGGAAATAAGGTGAAAAGATGGTGACTATCGGGGAGAGGCTTGCTGTCCTCCGCTGAGCTAGCGTACCCTGCTCTCCCCCACCCCTGGCCTCTACCCTGCCCTCAGCGCACACGCCCCTCTGGACCCGGCTACGTGCGGACTCTCTGACTAGCATGTAAACTCCATGCAGAAAAGGCCTGCTTTGGAATCCCGTCTGTACCCCAAACCTGCAAAACTACTTGACGAATGGTAGGTGCTCAATAAATACATATTCAATGCCAAAATGAGCTGCTGTTCGTGCAGCTTCTAAAATACCATCAGTTGTGAAGTCCTTTGAACAGTGTGTGCACGCACGGGGTGGACTGAAAGAGAGAGGCCTGGGACTGAGGCCACAGGAAACTCTGCTGCTCCGGCCTGATGCTGCTGGCGCTCACAGGTCCAAGGCCCGGTCCCTTCATGGGCTCTTCTCTCCATAAAGGAAAATTAACGATTAATTTTATGACTGCACCAGAACAAAGGCAACACTGCCCCAGGTTGGATTCATTACATTATCATATGTATTATGATATTATGATACATCGACACTATCATTATCACTCTTTCACTGTCATTTACAAAAATTAAAATGAAAACATTCCCCTGGAAGCGGAAAGATAACTGAAAGCATGGACCCCATGCCTCCCTGGCCTGATGGAGAAGTCCTAGGGGTGCTGGACTCCATAAGCAAGATCAAATCGTTCGGGGAATCCCAGGCCCTGGCATGGAGGAGCACGGCTGGGGAGCAGGGGAGGGAGGAGGGGGAGTGTGCATGGGTGTGGAGGAGCGCGGGGGGGGGGGGGGGGGGGGGGGGGGGGGGAGGGGGGGGGGGGGGGGGGGGGGGATTGAGGGAGGAGGGCGGATTGTGCGCGGGCGTGGAGGAGTGGGGGAGGAGGGGGAGTGTTCCCCGGGTGCTGCCTTGGGCAGTAGGGCGGGGGAGTCAGGGGCCGGGTGAGGGACTCAGTCCTCCCTCCGCAGGTGTCAGCCAAGGGGGTCGTTCTCACCGCCGAGCTCCTGTGCGAGGGTGGGGTTTTCGTTCCGGATTCACGGATGGCGCCCCGTCGTCGGCTCCGTGTCTGCTGCCTCCTTGCCCTGCCGCCAGCGCCCTCCACCTTGGTCAGGCTTGGTGTGGGACAGGGGAGGAGTGCTTTCTCTAGTGGCCAGGGATACGAGCCTGGCGCCCTCCTCGATCCGCAGCTCTCTCCATGACTGCCCGAGGCAGCCTGGCGCGCGGCCTCTCGCGGGGCTTCACGCCGGGCGCCGGAGCCTCCCCGGACCGAGACAGCAGAGGTGCTTGTGCGGAGGACTGGCTGAGTGTGGCTCTGCCCCGTGCTCCGAGCCATTTCTGGCACAGAGGCCGCGTCTGCGCGTCTGCGAACCCGTCAGGGGGAGCTGAGTGTCGGCTAGGGAAGGCTCTCCTGTCAGAGTCTGGGGCGGGCTTGGGGGGGGGGAGCCCGCTGGGTACTTTCAGTGTCTTTGCTGCACTGGATCCTAACCCAAAGTAGACAGAGGGGTGTCCGGCAGGGGGGGGAGGTCCCCAGGGGCTCCTGTGGAGCCTCTGCTGCCAGGCCTGACCCCTGCCCTCTGTGGGGGCATGCCCTTTCTGCTTTCCCCCAGATATGGGTCATTTCCTGGCGGACTGTCAGGACATCCTGCCCTCCTGGGGAGTGAGATCAGTGCCTGGTCTGGACCATTCTGGAGCCCCAGGGCCTCCTGGGATCTGGCTCACTGACAGGCGTCAGCTTTGCTTCTCCTGGGGTCTTCGGTGGGATGAGGCGGGCCCCAGGCGCAGCACCCCAGCAGACACCAGGCCAAAGGCTCCCTGAATCTGGGTCTTCCTCCAGTGGTATCTGCTACAAGGGATTGTGTGCCCACTCACAAGGAGGTGTGCTGGCTGGCTTCCCATCTGGGCGATGTCCCACCTTCCAGGCAGCCCTCGCCTTCTGCTCTGGCTGCTCTCTCAGATCTCACCTGGGAGGAGGGCCAGGGGATCTAGGTAGCAAGTGTTCTTCTCTTGCCTTATTTTGTAAGGACAGAGAGCCTCTGAGCAGAAACAGATCAACCGCGTCTCACCCAGGGGCAGTTAGGAGAAGGAGGGCTGTAAAGTTTGCATGCCTGAGCACCAGACCCTGGAACTCTGGAGGCTCCACCTGGGTGAGAAGCACAGGTGCACCAGAAGGGCTCCTGGGACGGAAGACCTGAGGGTGCGGGAAGTCTCTGTTAGCAGAGCATCCCGGACCTGGCCGGTGATCGCAGGTGCTAGTGTGCACGCTGCATGTGCGCAGCCCTCCTTGGGTGGGTGGGTACAGGGTGGCGTCAGGCCCTGGGGAGATGTTAGTCCAGTTTCCTGGGGGCGGGGAGGGGGGGCCTGCTTGCTTCTCATTTCAACTGCTGAGGCATGGAGGGAATGCAGGACACGGGGCCTCGTAGACCCCGCTGAATCCCAGAGTTAGTCCCAGTCGGACCAGAGTCCTTCAGGCAGTCCAGCGGGGGTCTGCTTCCCCAGGGCAGCTCCTCCTCCTGTCCCCTGACCCCAACTCCCCCTGGCAGGAAGGCTGCCCCCTGCCTGGCTTTGTGGGGGAGCCCAGGAGGACACCGGGCCATGTAGTCATGGGGACGAGGGTTCCAATCCCCACTGTCTCACGCCTTAGCCTTTTGTCCTCAGGCAAAGATCTTCTTATTTTGGGCCTCCATTTGCTGATTGATAAGGTGGAAGAATGACAGTTCGTCCTCCATAGCCTTGTTGACATGTGACCATTAGAAACTGTGGAACAGGTAACACCTAAGGGCTCGAGGCTGCTAGTGGTTGATATGTTAAAGCAATATCATAACTCCTGTGGTTATGCCTTCAGCATGGTTTTGCAGATGAAGGAAAAATCCAGAAGACCAGGAGTTAAATTGCCTGTCCAGGCTCAAGCAGTGGGGACTAACCTGCAGCTCAGGCTGCCCAGGCTCCCCACAGGGATGCCCACAGTGGGCCAGCAGGGAGAGCTCATGGTCGCCGGAGGGAGCCTGGCCCTGGGCAGGAGCCCCTGCTGCTGTGACCGAAGGCCCAACCTCAACACGGTGCCCTTGGCATATGCCGAAGGCAGAGACAGGGTGATTGGGAGTGCTGCTGAGGGACAGGCGCCACAGCCGGGAGCCAATCGCATCGGGACGTCCCAATATTCCAGAGCTCAGTGCCAAAGGATGTGGCTCACGGGCCCTGGGGTCAGAGACTGGTCAGTGTGTCTGCACACGGCCGCCGCCGCCGCTGCTGGGCTCACGCTCACGGTGTATATCCTGCATCGTAGCTCAGCTCACGTGCCTTTTTCTTCCCTTTAAAGGGAAGCTCTAGGCCCAACATGGGGAAGAGGGGCTCGAACTTAGGAGTCCGTCAGGCATCCGCCCCTCCCCCCCAACTTTCCTTTCTTTGAAGCAGATTCTTTTTTTTTATTTTTTAAAGATTTTTATTTATTTATTAGAGAGAGAGAATGAGAGACAGAGAGCACGAGAGGGAAGAGGGTCAGAGGGAGAAGCAGACTTCCTGCTGAGCAGGGAGCCCGATGTGGGACTCGATCCCGGGACTCCAGGATCATGACCTGAGCCGAAGGCAGTCGCCTAACCAACTGAGCCACCCAGGCGCCCTGAAGCAGATTCTGAGTAGTCCCTTCGGTGAGGGTCTGTGGTTAATGAGCTGCTTGATTGAGTGTTTCCTTCAGCAGGTACTTGTGGCTTTGAGGGGGGCTGAGCTAGGTTCCGTCTTATAAGTCATTCCCTTCTGCATTGTGGACACTTGTGCCCTGCTCCTCTGACATCTGATGATGTCATCACAGATGCAGGGGACATTTGTCTATGATTTCTTTTTTTTAAAGATTTTATTTATTTGACAGAGAAAGACACAGCGAGAGAGGGAACACAAGCAGGGGGAGCAGGAGAGGGAGAAGGAGGCTTCCCGCGGAGCAGGGAGCCCGATGCGGGGCTCGATCCCAGGACCCTGGGATCACGACCTGAGCCGAAGGCAGACACTTAATGACTGAGCCACCCAGGCGCCCAAATGATTTCTATGTTTTTGAAAGATTACTTATTTACTTGAGAGAGAGAGGAGGAACAGAGGCAGAGGGAGAAGCAGACTCCCCGCTGAGCAAAGAGTGGACGCCCAGGACCCTGGGATCATGACCTGAGCTGAAGTCAAGTTGGACGATCAACTGACTGAGCCACACAGGGACCCCTATCTCTGATTTCTAGAGGCTTTTAGATTTTTCTCTTCACTATTAATGTTTTGCTTAAAATACAGTACAATCTACACATGTGCTATGTGGTATATGAGTGTGTGGAGTGGAGGAAGGTGTTTGCAAGAACATATGACCCCATGTACACACCACTATAACGGTGACCTGACTGGTTAATACCTGGTGAACATCACTGTTGCAAACACTTATGTATGAACCTTATTTTCGTTTTTGGTTTACTGATGGCTAGCGTTCCAGTGAATGGACACACCAAAAATCAGCAAACCTTTTTTTTTAATTTATCAATTAGCTAACATAGAGTACATCATTAGCTTTTTTAAAATTTCATTTTATTTATTTACTTGAGAGCAAGAGAGAGCAGGAGCTGGGGGAGGGGCAGCGGCAGAGGGAGAGGCAGACTCCCCGCTGAGCAGGGAGCCCAGTGCAGGGCTCCATCCCAGGACCCTGGGATCAGGACCCAAGCCCGAGGCAGATACCTAACCGGCCCCCCAGGCGCCCCAGGGCAGGACTTTGAAAGACTCTGCCTGTATCAGGAGAAGAGAAGGAAGCTGAGTTCCCCAAGGCAGGGGGGTGAGGAGGAACACCCACCCGTTCCCGCCTGAGAACCAGGATAAACGCCCTCACGTTGGCTCAGGATTCTTGTCCCTCGCGTCTTCGGGGAACCCCCAGGCTGAGTAATGAACACAAAAGGTGGCCCTGGGCAGGGGGCCATGCTTGGCGGACTGGAAGGAGCCAGAGAATCGCTCAGGTGCAGCGCAGCCTCAGCCCAGGCCCCCTGCCCGAGGAACAGATGTCCCGGTTGTGGACGTCCGCGATGTTAAAGGCCAGGCTATTCCTGCACGGGGAGTCCTGACGAGGCCCTGGAACGAGGATCATCAAGCGGGGCCCCTCCAGATCACCTGGAGGATTTTCAGAAAGGGCCCAGTGGACGTCCGCAGCCAAGAGCCTCGGGGAATTCCAAGCAGGACACACGGAAAGGGACTTCCACAGAGCACTGGGCAGTGAGACTGCAGGAGCGCTGCGGACATACAGACGGTTTTGACCCCAAGACGCTTTACTGCGAGGTTGTTTCCAAGATGTGTGCGGTCACTCCCAACCCCACGTCCTTTGATGGGGGGGAAGAGGTGCGGGGAGGGCCCAAGGAGCGGGGTTCGCGTGGCGCCTCTGCCACGGATGAGCCGCGAGGCTGTGCAGCTGGACGGATTCTCCGAGCCTCGGTTTCTCGGCCGGGGCCACACGGGTCAGCTCAGTGCTCCCCTGCCAGGGCTGCTGTGAAGAGGAGGGAACACGTGTGCCCCGCAGCACAGAGGGACACACACAGGCTCTCTCCGGGGGGGGGAGCTTCCATTCCAGGCCTGCCTGCCACCTCGCGTCACCACAGAGCAGGGCCTCAAATAGAGAGGCGACTTGTGAGCGGCGGAGAAGGAATCTGCGTTCATCGAGCACCTGCTGAAGCAGAGAGCTGGGCACCTTCCAGATGCCAACTGGCTGTGTCCTCCCCGGGGCCTGTGAGGTGGGAGTTCTCGAACACAATGCCCCCGGGAAGAACTCGAGGCTCAGAGGGATGAAGGGCTGGGCGCTATGGAAAGGCCGGGCCCCGGCTTGTGGCCGTGTGCCCGCAGGGTCTGGAGCCCCTCTTCTCCGTGGCTCCACGGCCCATTCAGCCATTTCTGGCCGGAGCGGGAGAAGCCAACGCTACTGGCAGCAGTCCTCCTCCACCACCGATCAGCCAGGAGGGTGCAAATCCTTTCCCTCCTCCAGGGAATCTGCACGGGAACATAGGCCCTAGGGGCACCTGGGCGCGGGCAGGGCTGGCTCAGCCAGGGTGCGGCTCCGCCTCCCTCCCTGCCTTGCTGAGAGCTCAGGGTCTGGTTCTCCCTAGTGGAGGTGGGGTGGGGTTAGGAGAGAGGGCGAGCAGAGCGACCCCACCACCCAGCCTTGCCTCCCGGCCCCTTTCTACTGGGGGGTGGGGGCACCTGGCCCCAGGCAGCACGGGACAGGCTGCTCGCTTCTGCCAGCTAGGAGACCCCAGCCGGCTCTCAGCTGTTCAGAGCCTCTTCCTCCCACGACGTCAGGGCTGGCTCCTCTCCTGAGGGCCACTGCCAGAGGGCCGCCAGGCACTGCACACAGAGGGCTTCATTGAGGGGAACACGTGGCTGTGCCTGGCTGAGATGGCCCCAAGCCTTCTTCTAGAGACTTCTCTGTGGTCACCCTGTGGCCAGCCAGAGGAGTTCACCATCCTCCCTGCTTTCAGAGGAGTATCATTGGCCCAGATGTCCACGTCAGCTCCGCAGTGGCTATTCTTCAAATAAACACTGCTCTTGACCCACTTCTCCGGGCCCTTGGCTGGTGCTTCAGCCACAACCCAGAGGACTGGCAGTGCCAGGAGGAGCCCAAGTGGACCGAGCAGAACAGCTGGGGGGGGCGACTAACAGCCGAGCTTGAAGCTCTAGGCTGGGCAAGAGCATTGCCGAAAATGAGTACGGCGTTTGAAATGGCAACGAGCAGGACAGGGACCGCAAGCTGGCAGCTCTTCGTGGGGGCAGAGTTGAGTACAGAGGGGAAAAGAGATTGGACAGGGAGGCGGGGGGTTCGGCGGTTCCGAAGACCCTGGAGCTAGTGTTGGGGCGACAGAGGCTCAAAGGCCCTCCGATGGTGCTCCTTGCTGGAGAAGGTGCTGGGGGGACTGGGCACACAGCTAGGACCTGCAATCAAGGGTCATCCCCCTGACCCTTTGTGCAAGGTGCTGGCTGCCCAGTGCCGTGGCTCAAAAGCAGGGCCCTTGGGAGAAAACAGGGGTGACCTGGGGTCAGGCAGAGGGGGGCTGGCGGAGTGGCTGGCCTGACAGCGTGGTGACGTGACTAGCTGATGGCCCGGAAAGTGAGGAGGGGGAGGGTGGAGGGTATCAGTATGAACTGGTAGATCATCTTTACATCCTCGTGTGTTAGGGTCTCCACCAGGAAGTTGTTCAGCACCTAGGACAGAGGCGCGGGTTCCAGGAGCACAACTCCTCAGTCCCATGGTCCGGGCCTCACCTCCCCCGCCCTCCTGGACCCTACTCCTTGGGCTGGGTGCAGCGAAGGAGAAGCCAGTGGTTCTCAGCCAGGCCGCCCAGCACGCCCAGCCCCCACCCTGCCCACAGGCCAGGCCCTGCCCAGTGGCATCTGATTCTTCCCCCTGCCCCCCGCGCCCCGGGGCGGCCCAGGCCTGCTCACATGGTGCAGCAGGAGCAGCATCTCTGTCTCTGCCAGGCGCCGCCCCAAGCACTGGCGCAGGCCAAAGCCGAAGGCCAGGTTGGGGGACCTGGTGCCAGAGCTCCTGTTGTCCAGCCAGCGCTGGGGATGGTAGCGCTCGGGCCTCGGGAACACAGAGGGGTTTCGACCCAGGGAGTAGAGCTGCACCTTGACCAAGGTCTGCGGACAGGTGGGGAGGGGCAGTGTCAGTGGCCCCCTGTGGGCAACGGTCAGTGGGGCTTGGCATCTGCTGGAGGGACTGTGGGGCCCCACTCACCCCTGCCGGGATGTGGTAGTTCTGCAGCACCACGTCCGAGCCCACCTGTCGGTCCACTGAGATACCCACAGGGTACAGCCTGTGCATAGGGACATCCAACAGGGTCCTCACCTGTCACAGGGACCCTCGCTTCCCTTCTGCGGCCTTCCTAGCCCAGGAGCCACTGGCCAAGGGGAGCGCCCCGCCTCCCTCACAAGTCGCTTCTGGCACCGGGAAGCCCAGATCATGAGGAGCTGGTTCTTTGCACCTCCTGAGCTCAGACAAAACTCTCCCAGCCTGAGCAGCCCCGGCCAAGGAGGGCACGGCCGAGGATGGCACCCAGGGCACTGGAGCGGGATCCCAGAGGAAGAAGTGTCCCTATCCCTTCAGGGAGAAGGAGAGGAGGTACGGGGCATGCATCTTGGGCAAACTGCTCCTCAGCCCCAGGATCTGTCTGCAGGCCCCACTGAGCACTCCTCTCCAGACAGTGGGGCCAGGGCAGCCGGGGCAGCCAGGGTCTGCCACACCCACCTCAAGGTCTCCTTGAGGGCCGCCCGCAGCAGGGGCAGCTCTGTGGTTGCCCTTTGGGGATTCTCAGCAATTCTGGCCTCGGCCACCAGGCTCTCCTGGCGTAGGGCCTGCTGCACATCAGGGTTCCGAGCCAGCTCAAAGAGAGTCATCAACAAGGGGTAGGCTGTCTGCAGGAGCCACGGGTACGGGATTCAGACCTTGGCACAGGCCATGCACCTCTGTCCCCGAGGGCATCTCCCCCAGGAAGATGGTCTTCCCTTGGGGGATCTGAGACCTCAAGATCTAAAACCCGCCTCATCTACCTCCCTTGAATCCCTCAGGGAAGGTGTCCCCAAGTTTGGTGAAGATCCAGGCCTCCTCCTCCAGCCACCTCAGGGCCAGCTTCTCACCCTCCTGGGGGTCCACCTACTCAGCTGTGGGGGCGGTGCAGGTAGGGTGTTGTTCTACATCCCTGGACCTGTTGGCACCCATTGGGTGATCTCCCCTGGGCACCCAGAGGCAGGTCAGCCCAGACCCTGGGGTCCTAACACGAAGGGTCCAGGGTGGACCCTAACTCTGGCTGTACCTCAGCCTCTGCTCGGGGAGTCTCTCCACCCTGGGGTCTGTGCCTCTGCTCAGAAGCCTGGGTGCCTGGCCCAGAGTGGGACCTCGGGGATGCGGGCAGATGAAGGTTGGGTCTAGGGGCAGGAGGCTTCGGCCGCACTCCACGCCCTGGGACCTGCCTGCACCTCCCTACACCCCACCCCTGTGAGCTGGGTTGCTATCTGCTCTCTCTTCTACAAGCTGGAGCCCCGTGCTGCCCTTTCCGTCATCAGCCCGTCACCTCCAAAGCGTCTGTAATGAGAGCCAAATGTACTCTGTCCCTAGGAGGGGCTCCTTGTGCAGGCATCCCTCCAGCTGCATCTCAGCCCTCCCCTCTTCCCAGGACCCAGACATTTGAAGGGCGTCTGTGCTGCTGCATGTCCCTGGGCCTCAGCCATTCTGCAATGGGCCTGTAGCACGGCTTCTCTCCCAAGCAACTGCAACCCCTTCCCTTGGAAGGTCAGCTCCCAAGTCCTGCCCCCCCCCACGCCCCCCTCAGATCAGAGCCTTCCATCGGCTCCAAACAGGGGCCTGTAGGAGCCACTTGGCATGTGGGGATGCTGCCTGTAGTTTGAGGCTCCATGTCCTAGGGCAGGGCAGGTCGCTAGCCTGACCGTGTCCACGCTCCCGGCGGTGAGTTCGATGGAGTTGGCCCTGACTGACTCCAGGGTCATGTCCGCGTGCATCAGCAGCTCCCCCACGATGCCACTATAGTGCTGCGGGCGGCCGAGGGCCAGCTCCTGGTAGATCTTCTGGATGGCATTGTTGGCTGTGGGGCACAGAGGGACCCGGGCCTGGTGCTGGGCAGGCTTCTCCTCAATCCCCTGCCCGGGCAGCCCACCACACCCCCAGGACTCCCTGCTCCTGTGCCACATGCTCAGGACCAGCCCGGCCCAGCCCGGCCTCCTTGCCAAGTCTCTTGGGCCACAGAGACGCCACGAGCCCCCTGATGTGGCCTCGGCCCTACCCCCAGAATTTGGGGAGTGGACACTGGGGACCCTGGTGTCCTTGCTACCCAACTCTCTTCCACAAGCTGGCGCCGTCTCTGGCCCTCACCATACTGGAAGATGTAGTCCCAGGACTCAAAGTGCTCCTTCCACACCTTGGTGCTTGTCCAGCGTGATAGGCCCCTGGGCATGAACATGAGCTGTGCGGTGGACTTCAACATGGCCTCCAGAGCCTGGATAAAGTTCAGGCTGGCAGGACTGGGGCTATGGCCGAGGAGACCCAGCCGCTCTCCAAAAAGGGCTAAATTGCTTGCTGTGGAGAGGGTACGGTTGCTGAGCCTTGCGCAGCCAGTGGCCTCATGGAGGCCTCCTCCTGCACACCTGCCCCGTCCCAGTCCAGGTCCCTGGCCTGCCCCTGCCACAGCGAGCCTGGCACCTCCCTACCTTCTATGGTGTAGTAGAAGATGCTTGTCTGGATGTCCAGGGTCAGACTTCCCCGGGCATTCTGCAGCACTCTTGACTTCAGGGCCTTTGAGAAATCCCTCGCCACCCCGTCCACCATAGGGATGTACTTCTGCACGGCCTGTGGCGACAGCACGTCTGGGTTGAGCTTCATTCGGTTCGAGTGCCATTCAGGCCCGTTTCTGTAGAGTAGAGAGAGGAGCTTCAGGGAAGCCAGGGTCAGCAGCTGGGGACCAGCCCTGGACCCCATCTTCCTTGTCTCCAAGGGGAAGGAGTGAGGCAGGGAGCTGCCTCTGGTCCTAGGGAGCAGGCTGCCCACCTGTCGGCCTCGGCTGCAGCCCTTTCTCTCAGGGAGGCCCTGTGTGCTGTGCCCAGCGTGCTCCAATCTAAAGTGGGTTGAGCCCAGAACTTCTGCCTGGCCGTACCACGTGGGTTCCTGGCGTTTGTTTGTGCACACCCACGGGGTCCCTTGCTGGCACATCAGCACCCATCCGGGCCCTCCCTTTCCCGGGAGGAAGGAGGAAGGCTGGCCCTCCTGTCGACCTTTGCCACCCTGCTCACACCATGTCCCAGTGTGAGAGGCCCCTGGCACCCCTCACCTCCCACCCTCCCTGTTGCTGAGAATGCTGCCCCTGTGCCAGTCACACCTAGTCCTGTCCCCGCCTGTCTCCTGCTCCTCCAGGGCAGGAGCCAAACCACCTCTCACGTAATATACTCCAAACAGAGCCCAGACTTTTACTTCTTCCTTTCCAATTTGCGTGTCTTTTATTTCTTTTTCTTGTCTGATTGCTGTGGCTATGACTTAAATGGGTAAGGCAGAAGTAATAAAATGTTCTCCCCACCTATAGATGGCATGATATTATATATAGAAAACCCTAAAGGCTCCACCAAAAAACAAAACCATACAAAACAAAAACTAGAACTGATAACTGAATTCAGTAAGGTCACAGGATACAAAATCAGTACACAGAAACCTGTTGCATTTCTGTAGGCTAATAACGAAGTAGCAGAAAAGGACATGAAGGAAGCACTCCCATTTACAATTGCACCAAAAATAACAAAAGGCCTAGGAATAAACTTAACCAAGGAGGTGAAAGCCCCGTACTCTGAAAACTATAAGACACAGATGAAAGAAACTGAAGACGACACAAAGAAATGGAAAGCTATGCCACGCTGAGGGTTTGGAAGAACAAATCTTGTTAAAATGTACACATGACCCAAAGCAATCTACAGATTCAGTGCGATCCTTATCAAAAGACCAAAACATGCTTCACGGAACTAGAACAAATGATGCTAAAATTTGTATGGAACCACCAAAGACCTTGAACAGTCAAAGCAACCTGGAGAAAGAAGAACAAGGCTGGAGGTACCACAATCCCAGATTTCAAGCTATACGACAAAGCGGTAGTGATCATTCTGTATGGTGCTGGCACAGAAGCAGGCACATAGATCAGTGAAACAGGAGAGAAAGCCCAGAAGCAAACCCACGACTGTATGTTCAATTAATCTAGACAGTCTCTTCGACAAATGGTGCTGGGAAACCTGGGCAGCCCCACGCGGGAGAATGAAACTAGACCGCTTCCTTACACCATACACAAAAATAAACTCGAAATGGATGAAAGACCAAAGTGTGAGACCCAAAACCATAAAACTCCAAGAAGAGAACACAGGCAGTAATGTCTCTGCCATGGGCTGTAGAAATATTTTCCTAGACGTGTCTCCTGAGGCAAGGGAAAGAAAAGCAAAATTAAGCTATCGGGACCTCACCAAAATGAAAAGGTTTTGCACGGCGAAGGAAACCATCAACAGAAGGAAAAGGGGAAGCTACTGAGTGGCAGAAGATATTTGCCAATGATACATATGATAGCCTAAATATCCAAAACAGATAAAGAATTCATGCGATCGCACACCAAACAAATAAACGGTCCGATTAAAAACGGCAGAAGACCTGAATAGACATTTTTCCAAGGAAGACATAGTGATGGTCAACAGACACACGAAAAGAGGTTCAACATCACCCGTCATCAGGGAAATACATATCAAACTACAATGAGACATCACCTCACACCTGTCAGAATGGCTAAAATCAAAACCACAAGAAACGACAGGTGTTGGCGAGGATGTGGAGAAAGGGGAGCCCTCGTGCACTGTTGCTGGGAATGCAGACTGCTGCAGCCGCTCTGGAGAAGAGTATGGAGGTTCCTCAAAAAGTTAAAACTAGCTCCACTACTGGCTATTTACCCAAAGAAAATGAAAACACCAATCCGAAAAGATACCTGCACCCCGATGTTTACTGCAGCACTATTTACGATTGTCAAGATATATAGATAGATATTTATAAATAAGATGGAATATTACCCAGTCACTAGAAAGAATGGGAGCTTGCCATTTGCAACAACACGGATGGATCTAGAAGGTAACATGCTAAGCGAAAAAAGTCAGTCAGAGAAGATTAGCATAAGATTTCACTCATATGTAGATTTTAAGAGACAAAGCAAAGGAACAAACACAGAAAGAAAGAGACAAACAAAAATCAGAGTCTTAAATACAGAGAACAAACTGGTGGTTGCCAGAGGGGAGGGGGTGGGGGTGTGGGGGGGGAATGGGGGATGGGGATCAAGAGTACACTCGTCATGATGAGCACTGAGTAATGTATAGAAGTGTTGAATCATTCCATTGTACACCTGATACTAATATAACAGTGTATGTTAATTATATCTCAATTAGAAAGAAGGAAGAGGAGCAGGAGGAGGAGAAGCAGGAGGAGGAGGAGGAGAAGGGGAAGAGAAGGAGAAAAAGAAGAAGAGGAAGGAAAAGAAGAGGAGGAAGAAGAGGAAGAGGGGGAGGAGGAGGAGAAGGAAAAAAGAAGAGGAAGGAAAAGAAGAGGAGGAAAAAGAGGAGGAGAAAGAGGAAGAAGAAGAAGAAGAAGAGGAAGAAGAAGAAGAGGAAGAAGAAGAAAGAAGAAGAGGAAGAAGAAGAAGAAGAAAGAAGAAAGAAGAAGAGGAAGAAGAAGAAGAAGAAGAAGAAGAAAGAGGAAGAGGAAGAGGAAGAAAAGGAGGAAGAGGAAGAAGAAGAAGACGATGACGAAAGAAGAAGAGGAAGAAGAAGAAGAGGAAGAGGAAGAAGAGCAAGAGGAAGAAGAGGAAGAGGAAGAAAAGGAGGAGGAGGAAGAAGAAGAAGAAGAAGACGATGACGAAAGAAGAGGAAGAAGAAGAAGAGGAAGAAGAAGAAGAAGAAAGAAGAAAGAAGAGGAAGAGTAAGAAGAAGAAAGAAGAGAAGAAGAGGAAGAAGAAGAATAAAGAAGAAGAGGAAGAAGAAGAAGAGGAATAGGAAGAAGAGGAGGAAGAGGAAGAAGAAGAGGAAGAAGAGGAAGAAGAAGAAAAGATGAAGAAGAGGAAGAAGAAGAAGAAGAAAGATGAAGAAGAGGAAGAAGAAGAAGAGGAAGAGGAAGAAGAGGAGGAAGAGGAAGAAGAAGAGGAAGAGGAAGAAGAGGAGGAAGAGGAAGAACAAGAGGAGGAGGAGGAAGAAGAAGAAGAAGATGAAGAAGAAGACGAAAGAAGAGGAAGAAGAAGAAGAAAGAAGAAGAAAGAAGAAGAGGTAGAAGAAGAAGAAAGAAGAAGAAGAAGAAGAGGAAGAAGAAGAAAGAAGAAGAGGAAGAGGAAGAAAAGGAGGAAGAGGAAGAAGAAGAAGAAGAAGATGATGAAGAGGAAGAAGAGGAGGAAGAAGAAAGAAGAAGAAGAAGAAAGATGAAGAAGACGAAGAGGAAGAAGAGGAGGAAGAGGAAGAAGAAGAGGAGGAGGAGGAGGAAGAAGAAGAAGAAAGATGAAGAAGAGGAAGAAGAAGAGGAGGAAGAAGTAGAGGAGGAGGAGGAGAAGGAAGAAGAAGAAGAAAGAAGAAGAGGAAGAAGAAGAAGAAGGGGAGGAGGAGGAGGAGGAGGATGGGGGCAGGTGGGGGAGGAGGAGGAGAAAAGCATTCTCCCCAACAGGGTGATGATGATTAAATTAGACCAGATTTCTCCAAGCAAACCAGAGCCCAAAGCAACGGGGGGGGGGGGGGGGGGCTCCGCAGATGTCTCCAGCGAATGGTGGGTAGGGATCTGCATTCTCAGCCACATTCGAGCAGAAACACATTCTTTTCTTTGGCTGGCTGCCTGCAGGTAGTGCGAATGATCGCATGCACACACGTGCACATTTGCACACCAGTGCACACACATATGCCCAGAAAGAGGCACATGACACACCGGGACACCTGTATATGTGCTCGCTGACACAGACAACACACGTGAACACACCCACAGTTCCCACAAGCACAGCTGGAACGCTCAGAACCATGCACACACATGCAGGCACACTCATACGTATGCAGGTACGTACAAAACCACATGCGTGCACACACAATGAGCAAAAACATGCACACGTGCCAACACGCATGCAGTGGCATGAACACAAACGGAAGCAAGCCAACGTGGGCAAACACACCGGCATTCACACGCTTATGACAGGTGAGCACCCACACACACCACAGGCATCTTATGACATGAGCGCCCACACACACAGCACAGGCATATTCCGAGGGCCCAGAGAGGTCCACCCAGTCAGACACTCCCCCCAGACACACACACACACACACACACACACACACACCACACACACGGGCACATGCACAGACTCATGCTCATGCAGGCACCCACTTAGAGTTTAGCTTCTGAACAAAGGTGCCTTCTACTGGCCGCCCTCTCCCCATCCCCCAGCCTCTCCCTCCCAAGCTACCTGTGCTCAACTCTAAATCCCACAGGGGTCCTCCTGCGGAGGGCTGCAGTCCCGGGGGGCCGTCAGACCCCGCACACGCTGACAGGGACCCCTGGCCAGTAACTCCCCTCCCCCAGGCCTGGGCTTCCCGACCCATAGGAAGGGAGAAGCCCACCCTGCTGGGACAACCTGCGGAGGTGGGCGCAGGGTGGGTGCCCCCTAATGGCAGTGGTCGTCCTTCCTCCTCTCTAGGGCCAGGGCCCCACCGCCCCTCCCCAGCCCCGGGACACACAGGACATCCCCTGCCCAGGCCCTGGGCGGGGGGCGCCTGCGGGCTTCCCGGCCTCGCCATCCCTGCACCGGGCTGCGCCCATGCCCCGCCCCCCCCCCCCCCCCCCCCGACTGGCTCTCACAGCAAGAACACGCCACATTTGTGCCCACGATGCTGTCGGTAGGCCAGCCAGGGGTCCAGGGGCGGCCGCCAGGGCTGAGGGCTCTCCACTCGCTGCAGCCTCTCCACGTCCTCGGGCAGCATCACGTACACCATGTGCGTCCCTCCCACGTCATACCTGTGGGACAAAGCTCAGAGCCCTGCTGGGGGGCCGAGTCCCACCCTGGGCCTCAGGCCGCAGAACCAAGCCGGCCTGTCTCCTGTTGGCCCCTCCGTTCTCCCGGACCGTGGACCGGGGCTCGGAGCAGGCGCTCCCTCCCGCTGTCTAACCCAGCAAGCCTCTCCTGCTCTCCTGTCTGCGCTCTGCCCTCTCAGCGGCCAGCCGGGGAGTGCTCCGTCCTCCCCAAGAGCCGCGGTGTCCGTGGTCAAAGGCACAGAGCAGCTCCCAGGCACTGCTCAGCTCCCGGCCTGCCTTCCGAAGGACGCAGACGGAGCAGAAGGAGCACAGGCCGCCGGCCGCCGGGTGGGATGTGGCAGTGCGCCTGCGCGGCGCCCAGCCTGGCCTCAGCAGCCAGTAGGGAGAGCCGGGGAGGGTGCTCTCCCCGAGGCGGGCAGGAAGGGCTTTACCTGAAAATGGGCCCCAGCTCCTGGAAGGTCCGGTGCATCTCCAGGTGAAAGTTCTCAGAGCCCTGCTCCTTCCAGATCTGCAGCACCCTCATCCACTTGTTGCCGGGACACTGGGGTATGGCTTCGAAGGGCAGCACCGCCTTGGGGGCCGGAGCGGCTCTGGTGCCCAGCGCGCGTGCCCAGCTCAGGGACAGCCAGCGCCCTGCCAGCCACCCTCGTGCCTTTGCCCTGAATGCCATTCTGATGCTCCCTCCCGCCCCCGGTCAGCGCAATCCTTTTATCTCGCCTGGAGGCCTGGACCGGCTGACTTGATCACGTCATGGGAGAAGCTGTCCCTGGACCAGGCCAGGAAACCCAGGGCAGGGGTCAGGGCTGGAGGCCTCCGGCTGGAGGAGGAGGAAAGAGATGGATGGGTGCCTTGTCTCGCACTTACGCAAGGCCTGCTGGCGGGTGGGTGTCGAGAGCAGGTGCAGGGTCTGGACTGGGGGCTCAGTGGGGTTGGCAGGGGTAGGGGCCCTTCCTTCCTCCCCAGTGGGGAAGGGAGCAAGATGGATGGGTCCCTTATCTTATCAAGAGATGAGAGGGGCCTGGGCTATTTTCCTCTCCTTTCTACAAGGACCAGAGCAGGGAGGAGGGAGAGGGCATCAATCGCATTAACCCACGGGCCTTTTTGACTGCTCTTCCCCAGGCCTTAGGCTGGGTGCAGGGGACCGAGACGTGCGCCCTGAGCTGGCAAGGGTCCCTGCCAGTGAGGGCTTTCAGTCCCAGGGGGGCAGTTAGAGGAATCCAAAGACCCACCTGGGGATGGCACTGATGTGGCCAAGGCCCTGTCTGTCTGTCCTGGCTGGTTCAGCTCAGCAGCAGGGAGTGCCCAGGACACGAGGGTCACTGATGGGGTGGCCTGCAAACCACTCCTGGGGCAGGGAAGTGAGAGGCACGGTTCGCCTTGGCCCACGCTTGGCCGGCCTGCCCGGGCCTGTGCTCAGTGCCCAGACCCTCCTTTTGTCATCCTTCGGAAGCGTGCTCTTGGGGGCGCAGACGCGGAGCTCAGGCCGGGGGCGCATTATCGAGTCTGTAGCGGGGGTGGGGGTGGGGGTGGCGGGAAGAGGGGTTGGTGTGGGCACGGGCTCCCCACCTCTGGGGGGTGGATCCACGGTTTGGGGTCCCGGGGCATCTATCTCCCCGACGCCTGGTGGCATTCCCACGAGGTGGCTGTCGCTGTCATTGTTCCCATGTTCAGAGGAGGGGACAGAGGCCCCGGGCTTCTGCCACCTCCCAGGGTCCCCCCTCCAACTGAATCCGTTCCCTGCTCCTGCCCCTTCCGTGGGCTGGGGGGGCGGGCGGGGGGAGGAGTCAGAACTGCCAAGGCCCCTTCAGCAAGCGGAGATGTGCGCGGAGCCTCAGCCCCCGCCGCCGGTGTACAAGCTGTCCTCGGACAGAGGGCCCGGCTGGAGCCGCACCGGCCCAGGCCACGCTGGACACTCCGGCTGCCCGTCCCTGCCCGTGGGCCCTCCAGCCCCAGCCCCTCGTGGTCTCTGCTGCTCTACTCTCGGGCCAGTCAGCGCTGTCGCCGCGGGCCAGCTTTCCGTGGCCCCACACAGCCTGCCACGAGGAAGCTGGGGATCCGGATGGCCGGCGGTCAGCCTCTCCTGCCCAGAGGAACCGTGGGGCCGGCTCCAACAGGGAAGTGCGGGCAGCAGACGCTCCTGTACGTGCCCCGAACGAACTCCCGGGGCCTCCCGGCGCCCCGGCCCCCTGGCCCCGGGACCCAGGAGCAGGTCCCAGAAAAACTTTCTTGCGAAGCTTCCTCCTTGGTGCGCACACAGGAGGGCTGTCAGTGCTTCCGCTCTCCGCGGCCCCACAGGCCTGGCAGGCCCTCCCTGGAGGGCTCCTCTGGGGAAGGCAGTCCCTGGGGGGCGGGCGGGTGTCTCCTCTGAGGCCGAGCTGGGGGGGCAAGGGGCCAAGCGGGCCCAGGCCGGCCCCAAGGCCCAGTGTCCGGAAGAGGGGCCGTCAGCTGAGGGGCAGCCTGAGCCTCGGGCCCGTCTCTGCAAAAGAGCTGAGGTGTGCGGGCTGCTGGGAGCAAGTCCATCGGGGTCCGCCCTCCTTCCTGTCCTGGGGCTTGCGCCCCGGCTCGTCCACACTTCATCCCCGGTCCTTCCTGCCCCCAACTCCAGGGACTGAGGCTGCTCCCCCAAGGGGCTTCTCTGACTCCCTCCCCTCGGCTGCGGGAGGCAGCCCCAAGCCCAGCGCGGCCGCAGCAGCTGCCGGGCGGCGCCCACCGCGGAGCTCCAGGGCCCTAGCCGCCCAGACGACGGGACTCCGGGTCGCCCTCTGGAGGCCGGCAGGCCAACTGCAGCCGCGCCTCGAGCCCCGACCACAGGGACGGCTGGCAACCGGCAGGGCGCGGGGGCGGGGGAAGGGGGGGCGACACGGGGGACCCCCTCTTCCGGAAGCAGGAAGCACCGCACAGAACGTGCCCTAGCATCCAGCAGTTTCCACCCCCTTATTTCCATGGTATTATGCTCCCAACCTGGTATCATGTGTGCACTTGGGCCCTAGGGAAAGCCGGCGAGAAACCGGGAACAAGCGCGCCCAGATGCCCAGTCGGGGGTGGGGGGTGGGGGAAGGCTTTTACAGGCCGCCCGTGCACACCACTGAAGTTCAGGTGATGGAAACGGGGGTCCTGCCTTCCTTCCTTCCCGTGCTCAGCACGAACCACCACACGTGACGTGGTGCGAGGGAAGCGCGGGGTTGCCTTCCGTGCTCGCAGCTGACTTCCCCCCAGCGGCGGGCAGCGCTGCCACAGGGCATGCAGGGAGAATACCCACACCGATGGCAGGGCCAGGGGGCAAGACAGAGCACCGAGTGGCGAGGCACACGTGTCAGCCGCTCACAACAGCACGATGTTTCAAGCACAGCCTTTGAAAACGAGACAAGGACGTGCACTAAACACAGCTGTTTTGTTTTGTTTTGTCTGTTTTTAATTTTTTAAAAGATCTTATTTATTTGAGAGGGAGACACAGCTGTTTAAAGTAAGGACCCGAGCGGGCCTGGGAGACCCCGCGATGGGGCCTTGTGTTGGGGGAAACAGGGAGGTAGGTGCGCTGCCGGTGGGGAGGTAGATAGATGGACGCTGCTGCCCGTCTTCTAGGGCTTGGGTCGGGTCCGGTGTTCCTTCCACCCCGAAGAGGGCGCCCGCGAGAAGGCAACGGACCTCGAGGCCCGCAGGCCAGTGTGGGTGCCGGGGAGCCTGCGTGGGGCCGGCGGGACACAGTCGGGGCACAGTCAGGCCCCAGGCTGGGGACAGTGGCTTCTCCCCTGCTGCAGCCTGCAGACCAGCGGAGGGCAGGGCCCCGGCCACCCGGTCAAGTGCTGTGAAGACAGGGACGGTTCTCACAGCCGCCCGGGGAGGGGAGATGCACCCGGGCTCCTCCCAGCAGACAGACCAAGGAGCAGACAAACGGCCTTGACCCTACCCGAGCTCCCCCTTCCAGGCTGATCTCCAGTAGGAGACACACCGGCAATCCGAAAGCCAGACAGAGAGTGGACCCCACAGGGGCCTGCAGCTTCTGTGTGGAATCTGCGCTCTCTGCGCAGCTGCCCTGCGCAGCTCGGGGAAGACATGGGACTCCAAGTGCAGCGGGCTGGCCTTTAGCTTGTCCTTCAACCCTGGACCAACAACTCGCCTGGCCTCATGGGTGGCAGGTGTGACGTGGGTGAAGACGCAGGCAGTGTTTCCTGAGTGGACGAACAGCCCCGGTAAGCAGACACCCTCGGCCGCCCAGCACCCTGTGCCTCCACCCCACTAGGGTCTTTGACGCCGTGGAGCCCACGGGTGCCTTCCCATGGAACACGGGCATCTCCAACCGCTGTACCTTTGTGCTCCCTGCTTCCTCCCCGGGATCGTCTCGTGGACTCCGGGTTTCCGTCACCGCGTTCACGTTCTGCTTCCTGTCCTCCACGTTGAAAACCCGCAGCGCTCACTGCTTTGAACTTGGGTCTCCGTGAGGTGGCGCCGGCAGTGGGAAGGGGTGCGCGCGCGCGCGCGCGCGCGTGTGTGTGTGTGTGTGTGTGCGCGAGCGCGCGCGCGCCTGCCTCTTCCTATTGTCCCCATCGGTTTGAGACGGGACAGCGGTGAGACAGTGAAAAGGCTGTTAGCGAATCCTGTCATCCTCAGTGGACATCGCGCTCCCTAAGCCAGGCAGCTGTACAGACCCGAAGCTTTCTGTGGTGGGGGCTTCTCCCGCGCGGCTCTCTCTGGCAGTGTCCCTGACGTCGCCAGATGCGTCGGTCCTCCAGCTGGGCGCCGGAGAAGACTCTGACAGCCCGAGGGCCGGCTCGTGCAGTGTGTTCATCGCCCCCTGCGGCGGCTCTGGTGCCTCCATCCCTCTAGGCAGCCTACTGAGTGGGTGGCAAGAGGGCCCCATGCGGGCTCTCGGTCCCGGGGGGCCCTCCCCTGGTCCACTGAAGACACTAGTGCACTTCCCACCCCAGCATCATGGGTGCATCTGGTCGCGGTTGCCTGGGATGTATAGTTCCATCCTGCGAATTTCAACCTCTCGGGAACTTGACGGCCCCCCACCCCCTCCCCACCCCGGAGCGCCATGCAACGGTGTCTTCTTGCCAGCTTCAACTCGTTGTCTTTTCCTCCCAAATTCATTCTGTTTACATACATGTGATAACTGACGTAGAATGATTATACTTTACGTCCTATTTTCAGTTTACCCCATGTTTCCCATTTGTTTCTTTTTTTATGGTTTTAAAATACGCATAGTAAGAACGTTACCTCCTTCACTATTTTTTAGTGCTCAGTTCAGTGCTATTAATTTTGATCAACTCGTTGTGTGTCCATCACTGTCACCCATCCGCACGTCTCTTTTCATCCCATAAAACTGAAAGTTTGGGCCGAGGAAACGATGCCTCCCCTCTGCCTCGCCTCGATCCTTGATCCCCTTGGCAAATCCTCCACGATTCTTACTTTGAATATTGCCTGTGCTCTATTCCCTCAACTTCTTTGGGGTTCTCCCTACTTCTCTATTACACTATGTCCTCCCATTGTCCGCGCATTCCGGTCTCTTTGCGTTTCCCATCTCTTTTCTTCTTTGAGTTTCATTTAAGCAATGTGTTCAGCTTTGTGAAAAAGAGTAAAGGGAAAACTTCATGAGAGTCGACTCTGGGAGCTAGAAGGGGAGGCTGGAAGGGGGCACCTACCCCTCCGTGTCCATCCCAGGAAGCATCA